GACTGACTGTAAATGAGGATGTGGAAAGTGCTGTTCATCAAAGGTACAGATAGCAAGGATTTGTACAGTTTGGCTGAGAAAGAATTGTTAGAAATTGTTTCCTGCAATTTCTTGTTAGAAAAAAGATGCAGCAGAATTCTCTACCCCCAGAAAATTCCATCTGTTTCAACAGCAGTCTCATATACAGTGCATCACAGTACTTAATTACTCTGGTGTAATAACTGTGGATATACATAAATTTACATTGTCAGATTTAATCCAGAGACTGTGCCTATACCTTTAAATCAGGGGGCAATTTTTTTCAGATTAAAGCTGCATTTGGCTTTTAAGTGGTATAGTCTCTTGGCAGCCTTCTATGTATAATATTTTTTTAAAGGCAGGATTTCTAGGATTCTAAACTTTAAAAGGCTCTGAGTATGTCTTAGATTAATTTAGAGATGAAAAATGCATTTTTAATAGTTGTGGTTCAGTTGGATTGTCTGTTGTCAGTTCCTGGTCTACATTCAGAAAAGATGACATTCTCTTAAAACAACTGAAGACTTAAAAAAGAAACAATTTTTATTTTTGTCCAGGCAATGCAGCACTAACGATATAATTGATCATTCTGCCAGTGAATTGCTCACTTTACTAAAGAATATTCATCTGTCAGATTCTTTGCTAGGTGGCTTATACAGTAAACTTTAAAATTTAATCTGTCTTCCAATCATTGTACAATCTCTTAAAAAAACCACAGTAAAAGCTAGATTAATACAATTACAGTAGTATGAATGGCACTGGTAAGGTTTATAACTGAAATCTATCATCCATCTAAGGCCATGACATATGTTTCCAGCAGTACAGCAAAAATTTGTTTAAAGGACAACCGTGTTTTTTCCTAATATAATGAAGGTCAGGTGCTCTTTCTAGTGAGTCATATTAGTTGTTTGCTGATAGATTTTTCAGGAGGAACAGTTTGGGTGGCTGTGATCTGTTTTCCTCTATGGTTGTTTGTCAGACATTATATTCCATAAAATTAATAAGTAGTATGAGGAGAACTGTTTAAGAAGGCTGCACTGAAGTCGTAAATAAAACCCAGCTGGTGCCACTGTGAATTGCTGGAAGAAAAAAAGTCAGCCTGTAGTATTGACAGTTTCAAGGTGATGGATTTTGAAAAAAGGGAACCATTTTTTAAAAGAAAACTCATACACTCTCTTTATGGATAGAAAAAAGAGGGAGAAGGAAGCCAGGCTGCAAAGACCAAGAAGCCACCCCAGAGGGACCCTTCCTTCCTTCCCAACAAAGCCACTTCTACCCACCAGCCTGTAGGAAAGATCCTCAAGCCCAGCTTGGTGTAAAAGTTCACTAAGAGTAGGTTCCAGTTCATCTTCAGCTAGAGAAACTCACAGGGTGACTTGGAGCCAATCTCTCTCTCTCAGCGTTAGAAATGTCGTGGAGATAAAAGGGAGGGAATCCCTGTGTAAACCAGCTTAAACTCATGGAGAAAACTAATAACACATCTAACAAATGTAGATTTGAAACCCTTCATTACTTGGGCAGTAGCCCAAGTAACTGGTCACAGGAATAACCACTTTGGTTTTATTTATTATTTTGGTTTTATTATATCTTAGTTACCTTGTTTTAGGTGATATGTATTTTATTTCATGGATTTTAGATTTATACTTGCGCAGTTAATTAACATACCATTATAGCTGAGTATGTTACACTTTTATTATAGAGACTGTAATAAAAGTGTAACATAATAATACTAACTTTTATTATGTTAGTATTTTATCTCACCCATTTGATTTCACTTTCATATCATATATTTTTAAATGTTGCTGGTCATTGAGTGAATAAACGTTACTGTCACTGTTACTTAACAAATACATTTAATGGGAAATAAGCCTAATACATAAATATAAAATATTTCAGTATATTGCTTCTAAACCATTATTATCCTGAAAGCTGGGAGAGAAATAATTGTAATAAATAACCAACCAACCAGAGGAAGGATTGTTATGTGAAAATGTTTCTGAATTTTTGTGTGTTTCAGGAGTACGTAATAAATTAGATGTGGTCTTTGATGTAATTATGACATTAGAAAAGTTTCTGAATTTTTGTGTGTTTCAGGAGTACGTAATAAATTAGATGTGGTCTTTGATGTAATTATGACATTAGAAAATGTAATAAATAACCAACCAACCAGAGGAAGGATTGTTATGTGAAAATGCTGAATATTTTGTTAGGAATTCCTAGCCCCTTTTTCAGAATAACAGTTTCTGAATTTTTGTGTGTTTCAGGAGTACGTAATAAATTAGATGTGGTCTTTGATGTAATTATGACATTAGAAAACATAAAAATTAAAATGTGACTTGTAATACTGTAAAAGTATCACAGTTTGAAAATCCTTTTTAGTAAAGACTTTAGTTCCTGTGATTTGGCTTTTGCAAGATAGGAGAACAAGACATTTTGTTTCCTTTATTTCTCTTTGACCTGCCTGATGAATAGACCCACTGGAGTTATTAGTAACATTTTATTACAACTTATCTTGAAGATCAGTACTCTTTAAATTTGGACAAGCTTTCGATGACTGAATACAAATTATGTCATCATCATCATCATCATCATC